AGTTTTTTGCGCGTGTCCGTAATAACGCGCACAAAGGATTGTGGGACAGAGTCCTTTATTTGCTGGCATTCTTGACTTTTGACTGCAGTTCTTTTTTATATTTTAGAGTAAATGCTTTTGATATGCTCTTAGGTTTCTTAATATCCGTCTGAAATTCTGGACTGTGGTCATATTTTTCGATTAGGAGTCGTATATTTAAATAACTCACCGTGACTAATGTTTTGCATTATGAAGTATATTTTTATGAAGGTCAACACACTGTACTTTAGGTAAATATTTACCATCTCGTTATTTCATTATTTCGCTTTCCAGCATTTACAGGAAACGCTTCATTCTAGAAAATGCTATCGCAAAACGGTTGGAAATAATAAATGTAACAGCAGAATACGTCCTAGCACAGTCACTGGACTAGGAGAGTGATTGTTGTCCTAGTAATAAACTAAGTGACTTCCAAAAACTGAATGGTGTTTGCGAACTTCGTATTAGTTATAAACCGACGTTAGCTTCACGTTTATGTCACACCATGGAAACAGCCAAAAACATGGTGCTTGTTTTTGAGCGGAGCGGATCGCCAACCAGCCTACCGGCTTGTTTAAATATTGTTAACCTGATTTTGTGGCCAGTAAAAAAGAGATGCCCTCAAACAACTTTTCTCTTGTTACTTTTGTTTTTACATAGCTATTCATTTGTTTGCTGTTTATTTCCTCTAGTAGAAGCATGTGCGATGCTGCGAGAGGAAATTGGCTAGTTCCCACATCCTCTACGAAAATGGCTGAAAAGGATGCTGGGAATCAGCAACGGGTTGAAAATAATGCATATGCACCAATAGTGTGAAAATACTTGTCAGCCGCTGTAAATCACTTAATTTTTGCTGTGAAAATTTTTGCGATTTCATTGATTGAAGACAAAGTCGCTGGCACTCCATCTCATTGTTTCCTAAACACATTTTCACTGCTACAAAATTTCACTATTTTATTGCCTGTGAAATTTGCAAAAATTTTCTCTCTCGAAATTAAAGCAGTTTACAATAAATATTAATTGTCTTCGTCACTAATCTGCATTGCTCTCTCTTTTTGTGTGAATCAGATCTTGCCTTAGAAGAATTACTTGAAAAAAAGAAAAAAATGGTATGTTGATTTTGGGCATTTTTTTGTTTTGAATTTGCATAACAATGGAATAAGATAATCACCTCTATTGTATTCATTGTTATTGTTATAATAATTTAGCTCTATTGTATATCCATGGTCGTAGACTTCCTACTCCTTAATGCCCTGGAGAGATCCTGTGTCCAGTTGAAGGGTATGGTATGTTAATTTTGGGCATTTTTTGTTTTGAATTTGCATAACAATGGAATAAGATAATCACCTCTATTGTATTCATTGTTATTGTTATAATAATTTAGCTCTATTGTATATCCATGGTCGTAGACTTCCTACTCCATAATGCCCTGCAGAGATCCTGTGTCCAGTTGAAGGGGACAAAGTTGTCAGTTTTCTTTGTATGTAAAAAAATGGCGGTATCCTTGTCACATTGGGTGGCAGATTAGCACAATCTAACTGGATCTCAACCTCAGAAGTGTTCTATATCAAAAACAGACAGCCAAAAAAAAAATAAACTTTATAACTATTACGCTGATGTATGTATTTGTATTGCTGTACATTGTGAAGTACTTTATTTTCACTTGGAATTTATTTTCACTATTTTCAATGATGAGGGATGAAAATAAAATCCAGCAAAAATAAACTTTATACAAAACATGCCTTTTCCATGCAAGTATTTTACATTATTATACATCTGTCACCGTAACGCCATAAGTTACAACATGCCGTAATTTTGCAGTATTGCACTGGGTATTTTCATCCCTACCATATTAGGAAACGCGAATTCCATATATGGCATGATTACGTGTGTAAGCGCCCACTCATAATAACAAACAAACATGGCTGCCCCCATGGTTTGAACGGACCCCACACAAAAATGTTTGCTAAATCTGTTCTAAAAGTTTTGTATTTTGGCATTCCCATGATGTATATTCCTGGGAGGAAAAGATGTATAATAATAAGGTTAATACGAGGATACTGTAAAGTATGCACTCAGACAGTACACTGCTGCACGTTGGTCAATACTCTCACTGTACTGTCTTTGTGCATACTTTGAGGTATCCTTGTAATAACCTTATGTTATCATTTTTTACTTAATTTTTAGCTTGAGGATGTTATGGAGCATGAGACTTATAAAACTGCCAAAGAAATCTTAGAAAAATATGACCCTACTTTTAAGAAGCCAGAGTCACCACCAGTGAGACCACAGGGAAGATCTCCTCCTGGATCAGGTATGTATTATTCTAACATTGCTGCCTTGCATTTTAAATTCCAGCCCTGGTTACTGGCACCCTGTTTCAGATTTCTTACTCACATGCAAATTCCAACTTCATATTCAAATTCCAACTTCAGTTTCAAATTCCAATCTCAGATGCAGTTTGAAATTCAAACCTGAGATTCAGTTTGAAATTCCAACCTTGGATTCAGTTTTCAAATTCCAACCTTAGATTCAGTTTTCAAATTCCAACCTTAGATTTAGTTTTCAAATTCCAACCTTAAATTCAGTTTTCAAATTCCAACCTCAAGATTCAATTTCAAATTCCAACCTCAGATTCAGTTTCAAATTCCAACCTCAGATTCAGTTTTCAAATTCCAACCTCAGATTCAGTTTTCAAATTCCAACCTCAGATTCAGTTTTCAAATTCCAACCTCAGATTCAGTTTTCAAATTCCAACCTCAGATTCAGTTTCAAATTCCAACCTCAGATTCAGTTTCAAATTCCAACCTCAGATTCAGTTTTCAAATTCAAGCCTCAGATTTAGTTTCTTATTCCAAACTGAGGTGCAGTTTTCAAATTCAACCTCAGATTCAGTTTCAAATTCAACCTGAAAGTCAGTTTCAAATTCAAACCTTAAATGCAGTTTTCAAATTCAACCTCAGATTCAGTTTATTATTCCAAACTGAGATGCCGTTTCAAATTCAACCTCAGATTTAGTTTCATATTCCAACCAGACATTCAAAATCAAATTTCAACACCCATGCAGTTTCTAATTGAAAGTTGTATTTGATAAATTGTCTTGTACATTTGCATCTCAAACAGGTTAACTGTGTTACACTCTATTGAGTCTTATCTATAAATGTTACACCTCACCATGGCTTTAATACAAACACAATACAACAGATGTTGCCTACAGTACCAATAATTCATGTGTCAAAAATGTGTTTAGCCGCAACTACTTTAACCTTTTCACCACCAGATCCCTTTTTTCATCACAAATTCACAAAATATTCCTGTTTATAGTCTGTCCTTTTCTTCAAAAGATTAGAACAAAAATGGCCAAATTTTTTGAATAAAAAAACTGAAAATTAACTCACATTTTGTCTGTTGGCTCAAAAATTAGAGTTCATTTCCAGAAATATAGAAAAATATATGAAAAATGTGAATAATTTTGGCAAAAAAGTCTGGCGGTGAAACGATTAATCTATTTAGTCATACTCAGGAGTTTTTCTAGAAAAGATGGAGCACACCTTTGTTACCATGGTACTAGTATATCTGATCATAATACTGTGGAATACTTTGTTTTCGCTGGAATTAATTTTCGCTGAAAAGACTTTTTGGGCGTTTTGCTTGGAATTTATTTTCACTGATTTTTCATGAGTTTAATGTAAAATATAGGAAAAAAAGTATATTCGCTGGATTTTATTTTCACGGAATCATCCCTTCAGCGAAAATAAATTCCAAGCGAAAATAAAGTATTCTACAGTATACTGACTGTTCCAAGTTTGGTAAAAGAGCGCTAGCCCGGGGTATGAGGGCGCTGCGCCCCTGTTGCCATGTCTGGAAGAACCCCTGATACTGTAAAACCATTTACTTTCACTGGCATTTAATTCACTATTTTGATGTTTTGAGAAATTTCACTGTTTTTTAAGTTCACAAATTTGGCAGCAAAACAAAGTGCTGTTGTTATTTTACATGCTCAAGTGGGTTTAATTTCAGCAAATTTTACCAAAATTTTAGCGAAAATAGTGAATAATTAATGCATATACAGTATTATGCTTTTTCATTGATATTCGATGAGTTTTATTGTCTTATCGTTATATGTCACATTTATTTATATTTGCAATAGCTGTGCGTCAACGTACTCCCGCAGCACGGGGTATGGTCGGTGCTCCTCCTGGACAAGGTACTCCTGGACAGCAAATGAGGCTACAAAGTAAGTCACTGTATCAGTAAGGCCAAATAAAATGAATTCTGTGTTTCCAGTAACCATACTTACCCATTTTGAGAAGAAAAATGAAAAGTTTATTTTATGCAAATAACGTGAAAAGTATTTATTTCTATGCTAATTAGATTAGGTCATTCCTCCAATGTTGTATTTTTTTTTATTTCATTTACTTCCTTCTTTGCTGTAAGGAAAATACATTCTGAAAACTAACTTGGATGTAATTTTTCACATCTATAGTTAAAACATAATTAGGAAAAATACAATAAAATAAAATAAAAAAAATTTTCCCACCCAGCCTATATTTGATCTATTGGTAGTACTTGCACATATGTAAATTACAGAGGTGTTTCTATATTTGTATTAAGTCAAATTATTTTAATGATTCAGTATACAACATTTGCACTTCTATTGGAAATGTACTTCTAATAGAGTAAATACAGTATTTTTAAGACTGTTACTAGAAACACATGATTCGTTTTATTTGGCCTTATAAGTTCATATCACCTTTCCATTCAGTTTTAAGAATGTGTTGTTCCCATGAAGGGTAGATTTTAAATGCGTTCATTAGATGAGTAAAAATGAAATGATTTATACTATTTCCCACTACTTAGGCAGCACCCTCTAGTGTTCACAATGATAAACTAATAATCACTTTTGTTTTTATTCACCAGGACCAATTACCACACCCCGTCCTATTTTGCCAAGAGACCGTGGTGCGGTGGACAAAGTTGTCGAGTACTTAGTTGGTGATGGGCCAAACTATAGATATGCATTGATCTGTAAAATTTGTCAGTCACATAATGGTATGGCCCTTGCTGAAGAGTTTGAATACCTTGGTGAGTAAGGCTTCCACCCCTATATATGCTTTGGTATGTTCCAATTTACATGGAGAATATCATGGAACAAATTCTGTATCTGTGTGCAGGATTTCAGCAAGTAGTTTTAGGGTAAATAATTGTGGATACCAATTACCTAATTTGCATAATTAGTTAATTTTTTCCATGAATGTTCCACTGATATATCACAGGGAGTTGGACAAACTTATGTATTTTAATAAATTATTAAATAATAAAATAAATACTTTCTGACGATAGACACAGTCTTTGAAATGAAAGCTAAAATTCTTTCAAAATCAATTCTGCCTGATATAACATGGTTCTACCGGCATTACCATGTGGCATTCTGATTGGTTAATGGCATTCTTGACCCATCGGGTCAAATGACACGTGCCGGTCAACTAATGCACCACAGACATCATGGCATTTATATCAAAAAAAAGAAATAACCTTTTTTGCATGGCATCATGCCTGAGTAAAAGGAATTATTGGTATAACCGGTGTATAACAAGTTATGTCATGTCGTAACTTTGATGATCGTTTGGAAGTTTTATTTGTTCCTTCAATACTAACAATGTAAATGTTTTAGAAGTTGATGGTACGAATAATAAATTACAACAATACGCCAAGTAATTATGTGGTTGATTTTTTTAGGGAGAATGTTTTTGGAGTAAATAAGATCATGAAATTCATCAACATATTCCTGGCTGAAACGTTTCAAATGCGTTTCATTTAACCTTTTACAATTGACATTAATATTGCAACAATAATTTATTTGTTTCTGTTTTTTAGTCTGCAGCATTTGCATTTCGAGAATGTTTCATTATTAAATTCAAACTCTTCTAAATTGTGAAACATAATGTGTTGACTCCAATAAAAAAAAAATATTTGCACTGTGAGCACGCTCATTAATATTCATATAGCTCATTAATATTCATGAGTGACCTGCACTCCCATTGGGCTGGCAAGATTCCTGTAACTTGACTATATACAACCCATTGAAAAGCAAAGCATATAATGCATTGTTTCTTTCAGCAACGATTTTCCTTTTTACAGTTTCTTTCTTCAGTGTTTTTCGTCATGTTTATTTCAGCTTTTAAGTGTGCATATTGTAATGGAATGAATCCTGCCAGAAAAACTAAACCCAATGCACCACCACTAGCTGTGGCTTTACATGGAGGCACACCCCCACCCACTCCAAAAAGACAACATCAAGGTAAGTTTTTTCCTCCCTCACTTCTACAACACCATCCTGACAAGCAATGTGTAGTAGTAAATACTACTATTGCTATTTTCATTAATGTCACATGAAATGCGATGTGACAACTAAGGGTCCAGGAATTGACGTCTTGTTGTAATTGGTCACGTGAAGAAACTGCAGAAAATGTTGATGCACAATGCACACAATCTCATAAATATTCACAATCTCATGAATATTCACAATCTCATGAATATTCACAATCTCGTGAATATTCGCAATCCCATGAATATTCACAAACTCATGAATATTCACAATCTCATAAATATTCACAATCTCATGAATATTCACAATCTCATGAATATTCACAATCTCATGAATATTTACAATCTCATGAATATTCACAATCTCATAAATATTCACAATCTCATGAATATTCACAATCTCATAAATATTCACAATCCCATGAATATTCACAATCTCATGAATATTATTCACAATCTCATGAATATTCACAATCTCATAAATATTCACAATCTCATGAATATTCACAAACTCATGAAGATTCACAATCTCATGAATTTTCACAATCTCATGAATATTCCCAAACTCATGAATATTCACAATCTCATAAATATTCACAATCTCATGAATATTCACAGTCTCATGATATTTACAGTCTCATGATATTACATCTCATGAATATTC